TAGGGACCTTATGCTGCCCACTCTTGAGGCGCCGAAGGCGAAGTTGTAGATTTCTTTCCAACGAAAGAGAGATGGGGGTCGTAGATATGGAGTGTACATGTAGGATTGAATATCGAAGCATGAAGACCAGCATCAATACCGTTCAAAACTGAGGGTGAGTCTGGTGGATTGCACGAAGCTTCACAAAGTGAGAGACTCCTTTCCGGCAGATGTGAGTCCTTCGTGCCTGCCGGGGGTGTCTCGTAGGCATAGCCTCACGACTGGACCAAGCAACGCCAAGGCACTACCGGTGAACAAACTTAGCTCTACTTCAATCATCCTCTCTTTTACCCAATAACTTCGCAACTTCAAACGTCTCTACACGGCAAGCCGAAATAAGCGCTCGTCGCCTATCTCACTGCCGACGTCGGAAGATTCTTTGATAAGCCCCCCGATATGACAAAATACCAAGACGATTGACATGCAGCCAAGCCTTCGAAGATGGGGCATCGTCACGACTTTTTAGGAAGGTTGCTATGTCAAGTTGGAGGAGGAACACATTATCCGCATGTCCAAGACGATGAGACCTCAAACGTGGAGGGATTATGACTTGTCATGCAGGACGGGTGTCAACAAATCAAGCTTCACTCACTACGCAGTCAACGGTCATCGCCAGTCCTCGGTCGATCGTCTTTCGAGATCGCACGTCAAATCCATATATGACTTGAATGTTGTCCACTCGGCCAATGGCTTCGATACCCATCATGGACCGATATCTCATCAGCAGAATACCTTCCCTGGCGCCGTCGGTCCTGACTCTGGGCCTTCTGGCTTTGATCCTCAGTCAAAATACTGTAGCAGCAACAGGAGACAATCATCTCATCCGTCGCCAGGACAATGGCACGGCGCTCAGCCCGCACTTCAGTGCTATCTCGGACTACATCGACTCTATTACAGATGATCTCTCGTCCATTAACACCGAAATCCACTCGAACCCGGAACTAGGCTATGAGGAGGTCAAAGCCCACGAACTGCTGACATCGTTCATGGAAGAGCAAGATGGCTGGAACGTCACGCGATCCGTGGGGAACATCTCAACAGCCTTCATGGCAGTCTTCGACGGCGCCGGTGACGGTCCCGTCATTGGCTTTAACGCTGAATACGACGCTCTTCCTGGCCTCGGCCACGCCTGTGGTCACAACCTCATCGCCACTGTATCCTTGGGAGGTGCTCTTGCCGCCGCAGACGTCATGCGAAGCCAGTCTTTCGGCGGCAAGATCATCCTCTTCGGCACCCCAGCAGAGGAATCGCTAGGCGGCAAGGTCAAGATGCTAGAAGCTGGAGTCTTCAACGATGCCAAAATCGACATCTCACTCATCTCCCACCCGACATCTAGCGGCGACAGCCCGTACATGCTCACCACATCCACCGACCGTGTCGATGTCACATACACCGGCCTGGAAGCCCACGCCGCCGCCAGTCCCTGGGAAGGTATCAACGCGCAAGACGGTCTTCTCGTCGCCAACAGCGCACTCAGCTACATGCGGCAGCAAATGCGGCCCTCAGACCGCGTTCACGGGTTCATCTCGAGCGCAGGAAGCAGGATCAACGTCATCAGCGCCAAGGCAGAAGGCTCGTACCAGATCCGCGCAAACGACGACGCCCAGCTCGCCAACCTAACAACCCGCGTGGAGAACTGTTTCAAAGCCGGCGCCCTCGCGACCGGCGCGAGTCTCAACTTCACCATCCGACCCTACGGGTACGCAAACCATGTCACTAACGACTTGCTCGCCGCTTCGTACTCGCAATACTTCGTCGAGCAGGGCGGCGAGCTCGAACCAGCCGAGATCGACAAAATGAAAGACCCGTCAGGCTCCACGGATCAAGGGAACTTGTCTCACGACTGGCCGAGCATCAGTCCGTATTTTCAGATCTTCAACGAGGACGGGAGTGTGCCGGCGACGGGACCGCATACGGCGCTGTTCGAGGTGGCTGCGGGGAGTAGCAAGGCGTTCGAGAAGAGTATTGTTGTTGCGAAGAGTTTGGCGGGCGTGGCGGTTGATGTGTTGACGGTTGACGGACTGCTGGATAGTATCAAGGAGGAGTTTGAGGCGACGAGGATGCCGAGTCTGAGGAGGAGGGGGAGCGTTGGGTACTGAGCTCTGAGAAGGACGAGGCGACTTGCGTGGAGTTATGGTCTGGTGGCTTCATATCGATCGTTATCTTGAAGTGGTGAAGCGAATACATTCACGCTGTATGTCAGTAGCTACAAGCTACTGTCGCCCTACGCCTCCCCTGGCACAACAAACTTCCCCCTAATCCTTCTTTCAACCGGACTCACCATCTCTGCGCCGTCCTTGTAATCCCTCAGCACCGCGACACACCGCTCGTCATCCGCATCCACCAGCTTATTGAGCAACATCTCGTATGTCCCGCGCCTCGGCCGCATCCCCGCGGCCCTCATCTCCTCGAAGTAGTTCACCGCATCGTCCAAATCGCCCGCCTGTGCGCAGACCCAAACCAGCCTGTCGTATGTAATCCTATCGGGTCTTAGGTTTAAACTGATCATCTCGTTGGCCAGGTACATGGCCAGATCCTTTCGGCCGGCCTGCGAGCAGCCCCGGAACAGGATGTTGAAGGTCTCCGTATTCGGACCGGCAGAGGCGACGGTGTGTAAAGCTTTGTACATATCCAGCGCCTCAGGCAGCGAGCCGAGCGCAACGGAAGCTTGTATGCAGCAATTCACCGCCGCGGTCGGAATCTTCCTGCCCTGAGCCTCGAAGGACTGTAATAAGGTGAAGGCATGCAGCGGCATGCTGAGCTGCTCGACTTTCTCCTCGCCGTGCTCGTCGATGACGGTTTGCGGAGGCGGAGGGGGTGCGGAGCGCAGGTATAGGAATAGAGGTTGGCAGGTGCCGGAGTCGACTTTTAGATTGGCGTCGAGCATGATAAGGATTACGCTGAGAGCGTCGGAGAGCGCGCCAGCGCCGAGGTAGGTCGCGATTAGCAGCTCGTAGTGGTGCGTTGTGAAGATTGTTTCGCGCGAGGTGAGGATCCGGAATACGTCGGTTGCGAGGGCGATGTCGCCGTGGCGCGAGGCGAGGGAGAGGACTTGCAGGCAGGTCCCGGTTGGGGGTTTGAGGTAGCCGGATTGGACCTGCGTCGTCCATACTATGCGCGCAGCGTCGTGCTATTTGTGTTAGTGATGCAATCAGAGAGACTTGGAGAGAGGCGTACCAGCTGTTGCTGAGCCGCAGCGTCGAGCATCGCGCCCCACAGCGCATTGCTCAGCTTCACGTCGTATGCTGCGCCAGGCGTCCCCTCCGACACACTCTCTTTCAGCCCCAGCACGTAGAAGGCCTCCTCCACTTCTCCAAACTCCAGCAGCAACCACATAGCCTCACTCCACACCCACTCATCGACCCGGACCTTCTTCCGACACATATCCTCGAGCATCTCCAGCGCCTGCTCAAACAGCCTGTCCCGCAGTAGACCGGCAACAACAAAGCAATGCGCGCGGTCACTTAGCGTGTACCACTTCTCGCGCATGTACTCCAGCACCTCGGCTCTCAGAAGATAATCCGGATGCACCGCTAATGCTTGGAGCACGTTCTCGCAGCCCCTGACATCAAGATCGACTTTCTCCTTCCCCTCCGCGTTCAGAGCCGCTGTGTCGCTCCAAAACCCCATTTCCTCCAACACCTTCCGCACCTTCCCCGCCGTCCCAGTGTCCGCACTCGCGAAACTATGCAGCACAGCCGCATACATGGCCTGGTCCGGCCGCTGCCCTCTATCTTGTATCAACACATTGGCAATCTTCATCACCTCCTCGAATTGTCCCTTGGCGCCGGCATCGCGCAGGTCTTCGTACAGGACGTGTGTGGGCAGGTGCACGAGCGGTGTTTTCTCCTTTGGGTTGCGGCGAGAATTGAAGCGTGGTGGGGAGGTCGAGGCGGGTACGTGCGGCTGTGCGAAGGACGTGGGTTGGCTTGCTGCGGCGGCGGCAGCGCTGTAGGTGCGGGTCTGATGTGATGCTCGTGAGAGCCGCTTAGGCGCGAGCGTGGCCGGCGCAATAGCGCGTGCCAAGTGGGCGGCGGTGGCGTTGGGAGGAAAGCCCGGGCAGAGACATCGCCAGAGCGCGTCGTTGACGAAGGGGCGCGGTGGCATTGGCGGTGGAAGTGCTGGGCTGGAAGTTTGGAAACCGCGATTGAGATTCAACATTTGGTTGGTCCATGCGCGCCTCGGTCCTTGAACGCAAGGCTGAGAGCAAGGCTTAGGGCAAGGCTGAGTATCACCATCTCTCCAGCACCATCACAGCAAACGTTAGGCAAGATACGTGACACTCTTATACCTACATGTTGAAGTCTTCTGAAACGCGCAAGCTTTGTCTCTGCGAGCCCTCGGCTGCACAGTTAGCGACCCGAGCAATCTAGAGGAGCTCCGCTGGTCTGGATATCTGCAGAGATTCACAGCTCAATACACTCAAGGTCATTTAGTTGCGTTCAGACCTTCGGATTGAGTCCAGGACTACATCAGCAAAGGCTCTACTATCCTTAGGCTGCATATGATCGCTTTTCAAAGGCAACCCATCGTCACCGTGACGAAGGGGACTAGGCGCATCACTTAGACTACTCAGTCATCCTTGACAGCCGTCCTCAACGCATGCGCGCTTGAGATACTCATTAGACATCGGGCTTTGAACTCCGGCAATAGGAAATCGGTGCAGTGTTCGTAAGTCTGGACCCTCGCTGAACATGAGCGAGGAAGGAGCAGGGGCGAAGTAACTGCACTCATTGTCGACACGATCTTAGACTCTTGTTCACTGTTGTAATGGCAAAGCTCGTTGTAGTGCAAGTCTTATTCCACTAATCACACTATGGCTCGGGCAGGTGAGAGCAGCTTGGAGTGCATGATCCCTTCCTTGGTTTGACCATTACTTACACAAAAGTCGTAAATGAGCTGCTAATTCGTACTCCCGCGCGTACATCGCAAAGACACCTAATCGTATCAAACAAGCACAAGACCCCCTGGCGCAATGGTAGCGCACCACATGGATGTTGGTCTGCCAGCCTGCGAGTTACCCTCCTGGCATTGCAGATCAAGATGTGGAGATCCAGGTTCGAGTCCTGGGGAGATCATTCTTTTGCTTCTGCGTTGTGTGTTTATGTGGGCCGTGTGGAGTCGGCAATGCCTTGTGGTAGCAGGCGGTGAATGCGGCAGGTGCGGTGTTGGAGCGGTGTGAGCACGGTTATTTGTAGTTAAAGCTTGAGATGATCGATAATCCTGTACTAAGGCAGGAGGATTCGCCATTGATTTCTTGGCATATAGACACAAAGAGCGGCCTTGTTGGTATGTCATTGTTGTGCAATAATCGTATGAGCAAGTACCTATGGTAGTGTCTTGGATGGAGACTCTGCGCTGCGGCTTGTCTCTCCTTGGTGATACATTGCAGTGGAGAGGAAAGTGCCATCAACCTAACAGAGTCAACTATACACAGTAGCGACAAGTCTGTTGTTTGCGCAGGGTTGTTTTTCGCCGTTCTTCGTCAAGTGTGAGATGGGTTTCGAGAGACAAGGCGGCCAAAGTCTGAAGATGAATGCTGGCATGCAGACATCAAGATTGCGTTCTCTGGCGAGCTGCCGTTCTACTGCAGAATGGTAGCATAGAGGCAAAATTGTAACTTACACAAGTCCTGTTGGGTAGCAACGATAGCCTGAGGTGTCGAGACCAGGACGGTTGATCAGCAGACCTTCTGTGTGGAGTAGGTTTGTCTATGACCATCTGTGGAGAAGAAAGTGCGGAGTCTCTTCCAGACAAGTTCCGGGGCCCCATCACCCCCTTGAATGTCCACAACGCAATCTCGCACATTCCGTCGGCGTTTCTCTCCACGGGGAATCAATCAAATCGCAGCAAGTAGTCATCTCGTCGGTGTTTGACATCTTGGGTGTTCCCTGACGCACCCGGCGCATTGTCTAGCGTGCCTCCGATAGCTCCCGAACACGATCGCGCACGACCTCGAAACTGCCCCTGGGGGACGGTACGAACGGCTTCAGGTGCGTCGAGTTGTTTTCTAGGGCCTTAAGGTTGTTTTCGTGGAGCTTGGGGAAATTGGGGCCCCGAGATTGAGTGCATTGCGGAGGACGCGGAGGGTGTCGACGTCCTTGCATGACGGAGGCGTACGCAGAACTATCGAGTGCAAGTACAGCCTCAATTGAGGTCCGATCTGCATGCTGCAGGCTTTGGCCTGACCTCCGATAGTTGGCGCATGCACACATCCGCCGTCGTCCGAATTCCTACCATGACTTATGCGTGGGCAGTGCAGTGAGAATCTGAAGACCAGTTCGTCAAACAGAAGTGAGCTCAGCTGATGCAGAAACGAGAAAGCGCTTAGGTATCGAGGACAAGTCGCAGCTGCCTTCTTATTCAGAGCAAGCAATGCCGCCAAGATGTGTGTATCGTTTCTTCTTCGGTATCGACATGCAGATGGCTGAGTTTGGTACCGAGTGAACGGCCGAATCGAATTCTCAGGAACGTCTCGTTTGCAGCTCGAGCTTTCAAGAGACTGTTCGGCACCCGCTCGATGTGGAGTTCTTGTTTATCTTCACCGGATGGGAAGTGTCAGGTCAAGCTACTGCAGAAGCTAGACGATCCTTTCGAGGGAGCTAGGAGTCGCCCGTGCGCGAGATAGTCGCTTCCGAACATCTGGCCTCAGAAAGTGATGTTCAAGAGGAGAATTGGAACTGCTGAGGCCGCGCCTGCAGCTGTAGCTTCAAAACGTCCCAATCCTCCATGCAGCCTCATGTGGCAGAAGGCTCCTCCTTGACTTGGCAATAGATCCTCATGTCACAAGTTGTGAAAATACTGCTTGCCCATGGACCAAGGTGGTGGTCAGCACTTCCATGAGAGTCATGTTTCCGCACGTAAGAAGTTGCTCTGCTCTCCACCTCGTCATTTCGTCAGACACATCTCGTACATCGTGGACCTCCGAGATTGCACAATATCGGAGCTTGGCTGCGGCAAAGGCGCAATCGGCAGACGTGTGAACAAGCCTGGAGGCTGGAAGCCAAGAGGTCTTGTGCATGGGCGGCCGCATACGTTGGTGAGGCTCTGGCCCTGGCCCGGCATGTCAAACGTGCCTATCTCCGCGGCAAAATCTGCACCTCAGATGACGAGAGACGCCGACAGTGTTGTGACTGTACGGTGAGGTGTTCGACAGCAGTTCCATGCTTGCTGTATAAAATTTCTGTTTGGTGATATCTCTGCAAGATTGGGTTTCCAGAAAGCAAGCTGTAAGAACGGCCTTCGGCACTCGCCCCTGTCCACAAATAACTCACACGATGCTGATCAAGCAGCCTATAAAGGCTAGCCTTAGTCAAGCCTCGTGCCGGCTCGTCGGTAGTCTTGGTGGAGACGTTTTGTACATACACCGAACACCGACCTTCGGTCGAAACATGCGTGGGCGGTCTGGTAGATGGGAAGCTCGTGGGGTGCCAGCCAAGCTCTAGGAGCCTGAGAAGCGTCGCAGCGAGCGGTGCGGCAATGGATCTATATGTATGTACAGAGACCGTATGAACGAGTCGTGAGAGTTGCAAAAGTCTGTGTTGATGATTCGCCTCGTCTCGCGGCAGGGCACCCCAAAGTCGGGGCACCTGCATTTTTAATGACCAGATGTCATTGGATCATGGGAAAGCGAAATGCACAGAGCATCGCTCTCAAGCGCGGAGAACGCAGGGACGCAATTACCCCAAAATTTCGAACACAAATCAGCGGTGCCAGAAAACAGCAGAGAAAGGATCAACGAACAGACTGTTACACGGTGGCAGCGCCAAGCTAAAAGCTTGTCAGGCTTAGCCTTCATCACAACACGACTCGAACTGCGACGAAACCGGCATCGGCTGTCGTGACGACTGTCGGAAGCGCCTGTCAGAAGGATTTTATCCTCGAGGTGCGATTGGAGGGACACCTCCGACTCTCAAAAGACGTAACGCGTCCTGGTAAGGCACCTCACATCATCGGAGGGGAACAAGCAAAGGCTTGAAGACTGCCGAGACCGCAGAGCCGCGAAGCCTCTAGGGGGCCCACTTAAACTCTTCAGGCCAGTCTCGATAGCGCTGCAACCCAGCCGGCATTTGACATCACCTGCACGCTCAACAAATTCTTGCACACCCGGGGTTTCACCTGTCGCTCCCTGACCTTCCCTGGCGCGAGACTCTTGCGTGAGATTTGTTCCTGTTTTCTCCACACACCGGTGAGGCCCTGTGTGGAGGCCAGATGGGGGTGGTCTCGTTTTCGCCTCGGGCGAGCTCCGTTTCCAGCTCGAAGCAGACATCGGACCGCGCTTCGAGCAGTATCTCCGGCATCCCCCAGGTGGGCCTTCCATGATAGTAATGCCCACACACTCCAATAATGTGGGGTCCAGAGAGGGAGTACAAGTAGCTCGCGCTTACCTCGATCGTTTCCCCTCCAGTCTCTTTGTCTCGCACACTCAGGCATCTCGTGTCTGACGCTCGACGAAGTCTCTCCACCTTCCACCTATCTCTACTCACCACATATCCTACACACCCACCACCATCATGGGTCTCACTGGAAGGTCTCTCCAGATGGCCCAGCTTTTGCTGGTCGTCTTGCCCGCTTTCGTCCTCTTCGGATACAACCAGTCTGGTGTCGGTGGCCTTCTGTCCTTGGCCGACTGGAACAAGCACTTCCCCGAGATCGACACCGTTCACACTAAGGGTGCTCTGAAGAGCGAGCACTCCACCAAGCAGGGTGCTGTCGTTGCCTCATTCACAATTGGTGCCCTCTTCGGTGCTCTTACCTGCTCATGGATCGGTGACTGGCTCGGTCGCCGCAAGGTCATCTTCATCGGTGCTACCTGCACTCTCATCGGCGAGATCCTTCAGTGCACATCTTTCCAGCTTGCTCAGTTCGTTGTTGGCCGTTTCATCCTCGGATGGGGTGTTGGCCAGCTCTCTGCTACTGTTCCCGTCTGGCAGTCTGAGTGCTCGTCCTCCTCCAACCGTGGTAAGCACGTCGTTCTTGACGGCTGCTTCATCTCTCTCGGTTACCTCCTCGAGGCATGGATCAACCTCGGCTTCTACGAGCAGCACAACCTGCCTCTGCAGTGGCGCATTCCTCTCGTCATCCCTGTCGCCATCTCGATCGTCCCCATGGCAGCTGTTTTCTTCATCCCCGAATCTCCACGCTGGCTCGTCAACAAAGGCCGCGTTGAGGAAGCCAGGAAGAGTTTGTCTGAATTCAAGGGTCTCGACCTTCACGCTCCTGACATCGCGGCTGAGATCAGCGGCATCGAGCTCGCTCTGGAGGAGACCAAGGGCAGCGCCGTCAAAATCAGCGACATCTTCACCAACGGCAAGGACAAGCTGTTCTATCGCTTCTCGCTCTGCATCTTCCTGCAGTTCCTTCAGCAGATGTGCGGTTCCAACCTGATCTCCACCTACTCCACCATCATCTTCCAGCAGGGTCTTGGACTCGACGGCGAGACATCCCGCATTCTCTCCGGTGGTGCGCTCACCTGGAAATTTTTGTCTTGCTTCGTCGCCTTCTTCACCATCGACCGCTTCGGTCGCCGCAAGCTGTTCATGTTCTCTGGCGCCGGTATGGCATCGTGCATGTTGGCTCTTGCGGTCGCCTCCTCGTACCCCAAGTCGAACAAGCCCGCTCAGATCGCCTCCGCGCTGTTTGTGTTCCTGTTTAACTTCTTCATCCCTATCGGCTTCCTCGGCGCCAACTTCCTGTACTGCACTGAAGTCGCACCCACCCGCCTCCGTGTTCCCATGGCCGGCATCTCAACTGCTAACCACTGGCTGTGGAACTTCGTTGTCAACATGGTCACACCCGTCGCCATCGAGACCATCGGCTGGAAGTACTATCTCGTCTTCCTCATCATCTCCGCCATCATCGTGCCAATTGTATTCCTGTTCTACCCCGAGACCATGGGTCGTTCGCTCGAGGAGCTCGAGATGATGTTCAGCAGCGGCCGCAGCATCACTGGAATTGTGCGCGAGTCGAGGAGGCCGTTGACCGGCGGTTTCGTGCCTTCTATCAACTCGGTTGAGAAGGCGCACGAGAAGAACGTCGAGGACCTCGAGGACATCTAGGGCTGAGCACCCTTGTGAGT